TACTATATTATAAAATTTACTTATAATAAAGTTAAGGTACTAAAAGAGCTAGTAAAGGAAAGAAATAAAAAATATATATATTATAGTATTAAAAGGTAATATTAATTAAATAATAAAGCTTATAACTTTATAGATTATTATAGTAAGGAAATAGGATATAATTTAGTAATTAGAAAGTTAATAATTAAAGTTATTAAATAACACTAAAAAGGATTATATATATATTATAGTAAAAAGGTTAAACTATTAAAGGTTCTATTAACTAAGTTATTTAGGCTAGAAAAGTTAAAATATTAATACTTTTACTAAGGTAAGTTATATCTAGGTAACTAGAAGCTTTAAAAGCTAAGAGAATATAAGCTAATTAAGTTTATAAGATTAATATATAATAATTTTTAATACAATATAGGTATGTTAAATTTCAGTTGTCTTGCTATATAATTCTTCACCATTGTATGCCTTACCTAGTGCGTTCACTTAGACTCAGCCTATCCCACTCGATTATTCCCGACCGACTTGTCCCTTATTCACCCTTGAGCTGTTCCATAGCACAACAACACTACTAAGCCCCATTCCTATATTGGACCAAACACTGTACGATACGTTCAGTCACCACTTCTCATGATCGAAGTGAGTATAGCTTACGGGGAAGGCGATCCTGATCCGAATATACCTAGTACCCAGACCACAGACAAGATATTGTAAAAAACAGCCCAACTATGGTTCTGCGTCACAATACTGCTCATACGCCGTGACAAGCGTATTATCAACGGAATTCGACTCAGCGGAGAAGTCTCCGAAGCCATCAGCATCGCGTCAGCGCAGTCATCTTCAACAGACTGCATTTCCAAGCCACCGACACATATACTAAACGACGCCGATGCAAAGCACAAAATATCGTTGTAGTTGTCGCCCACATACATAGCCGGGCCGCGCTGGAGAAACCGGGCCAAAGTGAGAGACTTTTCCTCTGGAAGGGCATTGGCAAACACCATATCTGAATCGATGCCTACTTCGCGAGCAACAGAGGTAGCTGAAGCTGCGTTATCACCCGTGATCATCCCAATAGCCAGGCCCAGGTCTTTTAGTTGTCGTATAACTTGGTGAGCATCGGAGCGAACTTTGTCTTCGAGGACATAGACGGCAGTTTGCTTGCCATCTATAGCTAGCACCACAGTCGTTGTAATTCCATTTCTCATCTGAACGGGAATTTGACTGAGATCGACGGCAACTCCTAAGCTCTCGATATATGCACGGCTTCCAATTGCCAAATTCTGAGTGATGGCGCCGGACCCGGGATGAGTCGCTGTCACAACAGCTTGAGCGCCGCGACCCAGTTCGTGTTTGAATTCAGACACCATCAAGCTAGGTAACCATTCTTGCTTCTCTCCTAGCCTTCCGCTACTCTCTTGGAAGAGCGCTCGGGCAACTGGATGGGTGTTCCCAGCTTCAACTTCCTGCACAGCCCTCCACAGTATATCTTGCTTCTGTGATGAACTCCACTCCTCGCAGAAGCTGGCATGCGTCACTTTTAGGTCTCCATGCGTGAGAGTACCAGTCTTGTCAAAGAGAATAGTTTGAGCAGACGCGGCACTTCGTAGTCTTGCATAACTAGTCACCAACCGGACTCCAAACTTTGATGCTCGCACTGGTTACGGGTCAGCTGCAATTCATGCGAGCTTTTCGGGGTCACATACCTGTAGCTAGTAGTTTACAAGTTGGAATGCTCAAACTCAGTGAGCACGGACAAGCGGCTAGTAACAACGCTGAAGCTCGACCCAACCCATCTGCCCAGCTACCCTTCGTGAACACAAGATAGAAAATGAGAATGCTTGTTGCAAGCAGGATAACTACACTTTAGAACCATGACGTCGCACGATGAAGCCAGGGTTCTGAGTTGGCCAGCTCCGCTGCTACGACGGACGTGAGTAGTTCACCTAGGCGGCTCGAGCGCCCAAAAGCCGTTGCCCTACAGACGAGTGACCCTTGTCGTACCTGACCGCCTGCATTTACAGCATCCCCATGCTCAACTACTCTGGGCTCCAAGGAGCCGTTGATCCAAGTCTCTGTGACTAGAGCTGGCTCTGTGCTTTCGACGGCTCCGTCGCAAGGTATGTGCTCTCCCTGGTTCACAATAACGCTGTCGCCAGGGGACAAGAGGTCGATAGGAATAGATGTATATTCATCCGTTTTGTTGCAAACAATGGCCATAGTAGGTACCAGACCTGCGAGCGGGGACGCGAAGGCCCGATTACGCTGGGAGAGGATGGCCTTGAGCAAACGGCCACCGAGGACACTCGTAGACAGAATCGGAATGGGCTCCAGTGACTTTAAGTCCATGTGATAAGATCTATTTATCCCAATTTGTAGAGAATCAGCCGCTGCAGCATGCATAAGAGCCAGCATAATACCCAGTGATGCAGGAGTTGCCATATTTGGTCTTCTTCCGTGCCGTGGAGATCGCAAGGCCTCAAGATGGAGTTCTGATCCAGCTAGTAGGTTCATGGCAACAGCAATATATGCAATCAAGTTCATGTAATTGTTTTGCGTCGTCCATGGGGCTTTGATGCTGCGTGATGCAAAGAAAAGGACCGAAGCCGTCGTTGCCACGAGAAAGTCCCGTTGGCAGGAGTTAACATGATGTCGCTGGGAGTTTGAGGGTTCTTGCATCATACACAATAGACCAGCCCAGCTCTGAGATTCAGATGAAGGCAGTGAATGGGCACCGTAGCCAGAAGAGCGGATGGCCTCAATAATCTCCTCTTCTGTCACAACATCGCTGTTAAATTCTACTTGGGCCCAAAGTAATCCGAGTGAAACAGTGGCTTTCAAGACTCCAGGGATAGACCCGATGATGTCTTGAACATCGGATACACATGATGCGCACGTAAGGCCATCTAGACTCAAGATGCTAACCTGGGCACCTTTGATGGATTTTGGTCGTTGGGCGGGGTTACGCATGACATGGTTTTGGCTAGGATAAAGAGTACATAATTTCTCGTGTATGGTGAGAAAACGGAAGACGATGTAGGCTCCAACAGCACAACAGGCCATGATGATCGACTTTGGAAGATTGACGAGTAATACATTGCTGGAATCTCAGTGCCTAACTAAAAAGTAAAGAACAATATGCTAATGATACACTGTCCCGAGTCCATTCCCATTTAGCTTAAGCGTGTCTTCAAGCGACGCACTAACTCTTGGCCGCATTAGACTGACAAGGACATTGCTGACAATGATAATTCTGACTCCGTCTTTTCTGACACGTATGCCTCTAGATCAATCCACATCGCGTCACCAGCAATAAACTGTTGCCGAGGGTGCAAGATCTCGTTGCGTAACAGCTAAAGCAGCCACAAGTCAGTTACACAACCTGCGAATCCAGTAATCATCACTTACCCGTCGAACAATCCAACTTTGGATATTTCCGCGCAAATTCTTTACTCAATTTCCACTCACAAAAGTCATCAAGACCCAGAAACTTGGCTACATCGTTTGTACGACTCTCCTCCAGAGGATCATCATCCGGACTTGGCGTCACGGCGTTTATTTGACGATCTAGTTCTTGGAAGATAGCTTCCTCGACTATATCATGCTCAGAAGAGTACCATTCCCCAACCTCAGGACCGATCTGGAATAGTGTCCATGATGGATCGGTGAAGTAGCTTCTTGGAGGTGCTTTTTGGTGTTGACGGCGGCGCAGGACTTGGTTTTCGAAGATGTCGAGAACATTGACTGCGACGCTGTCGTTAGCAGGTTCTATGACCGAGTGTAAGACAAGGTCTCTGAGCAGTTCGTCGAAATCAGTGGATTCGGCCTCGAGGACGAGCTGATCCCTGATTTCAGGCCAGTTGAATAAGTCAATTCCCCAGAAGTGCGTGGGATTCTTTGACTGAAGGGGTGTAGGGCGGAATGGCAGTGGGACAGAATTCTTGGAACCGATTCCGAGACGCCAACTGATGACTCTTTCGATATATTTAGCCCCATTCTGTTGCCATTAGTTTTGGAGTCATTGTTGGTGATTCAGTACTGGTCTTACCACTCCATAGGCATACGATTCTAGTCCTGCGCAGCGCATAGAGAAGCGCACAGCAGTCTTGATTATCCTGTCGACCATATCGGCACGATTCCCAGAGTCGCTCAGGTTATCCAGATGTCTACGACAGGCGCCAAGGAGTCTAGAGCCAAAGATAGACATTGACGTGATACTAAGTTGGTTTGGGACAAACAAAAGCGATCTTGGGGATAAAGACGACATGGCTGGGTCTAAGAAGGTATCCCCAGGCTGAATTGTGCTTGGGGTCAAAGCGTCGTGTTCTTGGCCCGCCATGGACAGATCTAAAAGAAACGACGCGTCTTTGAATATATCTGTCTGGTTGACCTGCCCCGGGATGTCTTGAAAAGACTGGTTGTCGGTCGAGGGATTAAGAGCAGATGGTGTTTCGTGATTGACTGATTCCGTCCTCGGTGCAGATTGCTGCGCTTCTGGGTTTTCAGCATCTCTCCTTCGAAATATAGAGTCAAAGACCTCATCGTCTAGTACCAGTCTCAGTTAAACATCATTCGAGGCACAGTCAAGGGCGAGACTCACCAGCAGCGGCAGTAGCAGCTTGACCGAAACTGAGTAATTTTTTACGCAGTCTCAGCAAAGCATCTTCTAGCTTCCGGTTCTCAGCTATCAACTTAAGATGTGCATCAAGAAGAACAGAGTACCGATCTTGAGGATCTGAGCCAGTAGCCACTTTCTGCAGCAGCTCAATCGTCTCCTCCAGGTTACGGATGTACGTGATATTCTTCTCGCGTAGACATTGGTGTGAAATACGATTCTGTGCTCGTTTGCGTTCGGATGGATCAAGGGCGTTGGTAGCTTTTCTTTTGGTTGGAGGCATGACGGAATGAGGTGATAATGATAAAGCCCTGATAAGATTTGATTTGTGGGGGCAGAGCTGCTCTTTATGGTTGCATCGAAGACAAGGGTTACGGGCTTTCGGGATCCCCGAGTTCCCCGGATTTCCCCTCAGTAGCCACGAGCTAACCTGAGATCTTCCCCGCGAACGACGCTTTTTCTCCTCGGTTATTCCTAATATTCTCCAATTAAGATGCTAAGACTCTTACAGGTTAACATATCTCGTTTGAATCTCTTTGGCCTGGTAAATCATAGAGTCGGTTCATTTTATGTTGAAAATAATGCAACTAACTATGTACTCTTTGATATGCGCACGATCAAGCAAGCGTTTGCAAGACCTCGTCTCTATGCTTCTCAAGATAGCCCGAGAATCTTGTTAGACAGATCGGATATTTCTCCAATTTCTTAAAGTCGACTTGATATCCAACTTCATTCGCCCACAACTCGGCATGGATCTTGGGGTTTCTAACTGCAAGATCTCTCGCTTCTTCCTCACCATAGAACTCAAGCCCAATTTCAACTCCACTGACTCGACTTAGCTCCTGCACAATTTCAGCAGGTTTAAGGGACTCGACTCCCAAGTCTATCTCATGCTTATTGAACACCAGAGGTTCAGTAATCGCAGCCGCCGCAAACTTGCCCACATCGTTGGGGTCGATCACCGTCATCGCAGTCTCAGGCTTGTATGCAGACAGGAATGCTCGCCTTTGACCCAATTCGGGAAACATAAAAGATGCTGTCGGCTGGTGATAGTTGTTCATGAGAAACGCCGGTCGCAGAATCGTCCAGTATTTGATGCCAGATTCTCGCACCATTGACTCAATCTGGGCTTTGTTCAGCCAGTACCACGCCATGGGGTAGTCAGGTCCCCATTTTGGAAACTCTTCGTGTTTTCCCGTCATGGTGACGCTGGAATACACTATACTGGTGACTGTTCCGGCGTCGATAGCAGCATCGATGATGTTTGTTGCATGAACCACCTCCTGGTTGGTGTCGGGAAACGCTGGTGATACGTTAAGAAACACGGCAGTGGTTCCTTTGACCGCACCCTTGAGTGAAGATATGTCATCGAAATTGCCGGGGAACAACTGCGCTCCGAGGCGCTGGAGCTCGATGGCGGACTTGGATGATTGGTCTCGAACAAGTGCGTGAACTTTGACGCCAGCGGTTAGGAGCTCCCGAGCAGTCGCACCGCCCTGAGTCCCAGTTGCGCCAGTGACAAATGCAATAGTCTGGGACATGGTTTGAAAGTAAAAGGTAATGTCTCGGGGCAAATTGAGCGGTGAAACAACGGGCAATCTGAGTCTCAGGTGATGTTGTTAGAATTGTCTCAAGAGGTGTTATTGAAGGAGGACTAGGATAGTTTAAGTAGTTGGCCTCAACAGGCTCAAACCACAAAGTAGGCCTGTCTTGCCGAAAGGAGAATACACCTCGATGATGTGGATATCGACCGGGCTCTGTGGAGGCGATTACAATTACTACGGCATCCACGTAAGCATACGGGACATCTACTCCTTAATGGTAGGAATGGTAGATAGCAATGACAGTTTTTTTCACCTCTCAAGTTAGATGGCACGCTGTGGACTTGCGGATACCTTTCAGGTGGACTTGGCTATACTGTATTCAGTAACCAGCTCGACAGAAATTCAAGTCTAGCTAGGTTTGGTATAGAAGATTACAAAGCATGGGAGACTACGGGCATCACATAATTACGACACTAACAAGACTTCAACCCGAAATCATGCTGTTTTACAAATGAAGGAGTGAGTAACATGGTCTATTGCGGTAAGCCCAGCAAAGCGTGCTCGGAATGCCGAATCAAGAGGAGAAAGGTAAGTATCCCAGCCGTCCTATCCCGAGCCATTTTAGCGTTCTAACAAATTTCGGGGCTAAGTGCGACTTGTCGAGACCAGCATGTCGTCAATGTCGCAGAGCCGGTTCCAGATGTGACGGATATCGAGTGGAGGAGTCTGTTACCTTTCGAGACCAAACTAGCGAGACTCTAGGTAAGGTATCATTCGTTTCTCACGCAAATCTACCCAGTGACAACCAAGATGTCTTGGTACGACCTAAACTGTTCCAACAGGCCAAAGTCCACCCATCTCAAGATCAGTCCAGTCACTACCCTTGGTTCAGACTTGCGATTACGCCAGAAGACCAAGCTCTGCATTTCTTTTTTCACCATTATGTTGTACCTGAGTCTGGACGGTCCCCTACTCATCCCGATTGTCACGGTATCATTTACAAGCGAGCAAGAGAAGCTGGGTACTTGGCCAACCTCATAAATGCTGTCGGACTAGCCGGTCTAGCGTACTCAAAGAACGCGCCCACGCTTGTTAACTCAGCCAGACAGGCATTTTCTCGTGCGCTTCACGGCCTTTGTGCGGCGCTCGTGGACCCCATCGAAGCAGCATCCGACCAGATGTTGGTAGCTGTAATGCTTCTTGCGTTATACGAAGTAAGTCTTCTATCCCGTATCGGTCAATTTGAGCACAATAATGATCCGGAAGACTGTAACTCTTCATCCCACTGCAGACTTGAGTCCGTGGTGTCGACATGTAGATGGTGCTTTGGCATTGATGCAGCTCCGAGGAGCAGGCCAGCTACGCAACAGGATCGGCCGGAGCATTTTCCTCCACCTACGCACTGAAATAGTGGGAGGCCTCAAGCAGTCCCATATCAATTAAATTTCTGACATTTCAATAGCTTGTCGACTGCCTCCAGCGTGGGCTGCCGGTACCAAAAGTCCTAAAAGACCTTATGGCTGAGGCTCGCAGGAATGAAACAGAACGAGAAGCGCCTGTAGCTTGGCTAGCAGACATTGTTGTTAACTTGTGCACCACCTTGCCCTCGGCTGGGGAATACATCACGGATGAAGGGATTTTGACTTTCCACGTTTCAAGACTATTGTCGATTGATGCAGATCTCGAGGGCTGGGCCCAAACGCTCCCAGCTGACTATGGGTACGAGACCCGAACCAAACAAAGCCATCTCGGTGAAGCAGAAGTGTTCATGGGACGCCATGATGCATATTACAGCGTTGAATTCGCCAACTCGTGGAACCTACAGCGCTGTGCGCGTATCATTCTTCACCAGTCAATTGTTGAAACAATATCCAACTGCTTGCCCATCTCTTCTTCGCTGTCGGTCCTATCCTCTTTTCCTGTGTCATTCACAGACCAACTCTCCATTTCAGAAACTATCATACAGGCGAGCTCCAGTGATATATGCAGCAGCGTCCCATATATCTTGCATAGTTTCGATGTCGCAGGCAAGTCGAGTGACCTGCGGGCCGCTTATGCTGTGCATCTATTGTGGCCACTTTCCGTTGCAGGAACAACACATACTGCCACCGATACTTTGCGGTATTGGGTCATAACAGTGATGGAAAACATCAAGGAGGTTACTGGAATTCAAAAAGCAAAGCACATAGCCTTGACTTTGCAGCGGTGATGCTTTGAGATGGTTGTATCTACGGGTGGATATTGCCATGATTCGGAAACACGGCGCTCTAAAATGATATCGATATCTAAATTACATAATAAAACGGGCTCTGGCAAGAATAGCATGTTAACCGGTTTGATTTGGTATAGGTTCCAGGACTTTTAATTGTTAGGGTTAAAACGGGTTAAGGTATCGTTTGCATTGTGACGTGGAAGAACCAATAGCCTGACTCAAACCTCAAGTCCTCCAGGTTCCCTCTTTGTAGCCAAAGGATTGTCCCAGATCTTCTCCATAACTACATATAGTCTGCTCCGATAGTAAAGCTATTGAGCTCCGTAACTGGCACATAACACTGATACACACTGACCTCACTTTCAATCAGTAACTTCACAATGACTGAATGTGATGTATTCGTGGGTACACCTTCGGGGAAAAAAGCCCTTTGGCTAAAGAAAAAGGCCCTCAAGTTGAACTCCATCCAGAATTGTTGATTTATTGAGAACGTCAAGGAGATATATCAACTCACTGGGAATTATCACGGGTCGTGTACCATGGGACAAAGAAACAACTTCCAGTGCTCCAATCATCAGAAGGCGAACATGCAGCCAAGAATGCAGTTGAAGTGCCATGGATACTGTGTTCTTATTATGCTTGCGAGTGCTCGGGACTCCGAAGATGATCAAGGAGGTCCCCATGCAACTTGGTTTGCAATGCTCTGTTTGCTGCCTCTTTCTGTGTCAGTGTAGTACAGCCCAGCTAACGGTGGAATGGTGTTGTTCACGTAATTATGAATATATTTCATTGATCGCCAATGGTGGAAATGGGAGCGGAGACAATGAGATTAAGTGAGGCCAGGCCAGCAAGAGGAACTTCAGGTGTCTCAAGCCTGCGTGCTGCAGGCCCCAAGTCTGCATGTCCTTTGAGTTGTATCAAAGCACTGTAAGGAGAACCATATCAACTCCAAAGGCAAAGCATCAGATCCTATTTCACAAACACCCGCCTTACCTGCGAGATACTCGCTGCTCGACCCCTGCTGGGAAAGTTCGAGAGACACTCTGGCAGCTAAGCCCCCCAAGGCTGGAAGTTTATCGCTGTCCATGGTTATGTATCTCTGCGTGTATCTTGCAACCATAAAGTTCCAATCGACCCTGATTTGTCTCTCGTCTTGTTCTGTTTCCTCTTTCTTAGGTACATCAAATGGTTTCTGATGGTCGGCCGGTTCATTGTACTCCTCCTGTGCCTCAAAGCACGATTCGCATTCAAAGTACATCTGTGCTCGAGCGAAGCGTAGCGTGCGAGGGGAGAGATACCGTTGCTGAAAAGCCCAGCAGCGTGTTGATAGTGGGCCTTCGCCAAGGTCAATTATTCGATGCGGTGCTCCTACATGGCTATTCGGCATAGGGAAGACTGAAACGTTTACAGGAGCATCGCCTCCGAGAAAGGTTATATTGGTCTAGAATGATTCTGACCCAGGTCGCAAAATGCCCTCGGAACTGTTCTTAGACTTCGTAGCAGCAACAGTGAGATATACGTTTCCATAAACATCGCACATTCGAGCTGACTCGCGAATCCAATCATCATTAGAATCCTGGATAATGCAGAGACTGCCAATCCAGAGATATGGGATGTCCAGTTTCTGGGTCACCCAAAACGCATCTTGGAAAGTTCTTGGGAACTCTTCGATTGATATTCCCTCGTACAGTTGCTGAGCGGTGTTGGTGTTTAGTGTAAGAGGCTGGATCGACCCCCAGCAATGACTGAGAGCAGCGTATTTTGTATCTACAGGTACAGAGGTGCATAGAGTGATTCTTCTTGTCGCTTCGTCGTATTTTAGTAACCTTGTTGGCAGTACCTTGTACATGTGTTGATGTCCATGCTCATGCTGGGATGTACATTCCAACATCCATTTTTGCATAAATTCGAGGCCATTCTTCGGTTGCGGTGAAGACGAAATCTTTCTTCTCTTAAGGACGTTCGATAATGGGCTTTCTATGATCTTTCATCAGTCAATGAAAAGATAATTACCATGTCACCCGCTATCCTCACCTTGATCAACAACAAAGCCAATTGCTCCAAGAAGAGCATGTATGGTAAACTCCTCTTCTCTATAAGCCACAACTTGCATCCCTTGCTCGGTTTTCTGACCAGACAATGCAAACTTGTTTGACGATACATCTGATGAGTAAATGAAGGTCTGTTCCAACCGCTCAAGCTTGTTCAAATTGGGTGATATCGTATGCTAAATGACTCGGCATAGGTCGCATGTTGCGGAGTTTTCCTGCAGCTCCTACAAACCCTTATGATACGCGATAAGATGCGACCCTGGACTTTTTCTGAAGAAGTCACGTGACATGTAGGTGAACATGTTTTCGTACTCAGCAGGTCCCTCGAAGCTAGTATAGTATTTGTCCATTTTACAATTTAAGATATCGGACAGATCAAGGCTGGAACAAAATTGACAGAGCATTTTGGGAAGAACTAAGACAGAGTCCAAATTGAGTGGTAGGTAGTTCTAGGAAGACATGTTCTAAGTATTTATGGCTCATCTTGTCTTGCGAAGGTGTCATCAGGACAGGATGATTCGGAGGTTTAATTGGAATCACGTGCCACGCTCTGGAATTATAGCTGGCGGATTGCGATCTTCTACCTCTGAATCAATACATCTAAGAATAACATTTGAGTAAACGTTGAAGTTATAAATTCGTCATACAAGCCAAGTCCTTCAATGTAGCAATGATGCTGCCAGGTAACAAGTGAGCCCAGGCGGCGCCAAGCTCAATCAGCCTCGTAGGGCTGACGGTGAATAGTGGGGTTAGGCAATTTCAAACGTGGAAATAATCTTCATCAAACCACGCAACTTCGTAACAACTCGATTGTATCCATCAAGATCTCTGCCATTAACTTAGTCTTCTCCTCCAAGCACAACCATGCCTAGCTCAAAGAAACCAAGTCGAGGAACCTCCGTAGCAAACGAGTTCAACCAAGCCCTCCAAGAAACCCCCGCATTCGAACCAATGCGATACACAGCAAACTACGTAAGGATGGCGCAGGTAACATCATTCTTGCCTAAGAGTAAATAGCATCTTCTCACGCATCATCAGCTCGAACTGAGTTCCTTTGAGTTTCAGGATCTCATGGCAGCGCTTGAAGAGGCGGGGAGGCTCTTGCCGGAGAATTTTGACCCAGACAAGGAGCCGTGGCCACCGGAAGCAGAAGATGTTAATCAACGGATGGAGGAGATGCTAAAGAATTACAATAACCTTGCTGGGTGCTTTAAGCAGTTTGTGCAAAGTGCGCAGGCTGCGGGTGCGGGCATGGCTGTCAAGCGCCAGCAGTGATGGTATAGGAAATATGACTAGGTGACTGGCGTTGTATAGTAGTTATTAAGTTTTCTTGGAATCATATTATTAATAATGGATGTCTGATTGAGTTCACGGAGTTGCAACAATTCGTTACCAACAACAGACCCTTATCTCTTCATTTTCTCAAGAGAGCTGTCCTTGGCGCAACTGTGGCTTGTCCCTGCACCGCCACATCAACCACCGACGTCAGGCCACCAGCCTCATCCAAGCTCTCACCTCCAAACTGTCCCCTCAAGACAGCCTCCCCCAAAAACTCCCTGCAACCACCAATGACGTCGGGTATCGATCCTCAATTTCGTGAGACTCGCTGATGCGAATATAGTTCCTCATGACACTCGGGGTGAGATGTCACCAACCGATGGCGCCTGTTGTTGGTTCAGTTCTTCCTGCACGTCCTAGGTCTTTGAGCCTTGGAACTTAAGCTACATTAGGCAAAATTGAGACACGTGAAAGCCTATTCATGTTGGTAGACCCTTATTCCCCTCCCTTACTCTGAACCCACATTTTCGGGTCTCGGAGACCAGCGAGGTTTGTTCCCAGTCTTTTGTGCATGCGTTTGTTGCCCTCGTTTGCCAGTCCTGGCTGCATGGGCGCGAGGCCATGTAGCAAACAACGCGTGGATACACAAGATCAACACTGGAACCTCAGAGTTCACCTTCGGAGTTCCGAGTAGTCGCGAGGACAAAGAGAGAACAGAAACCACAGTGTTTCATGACCCCCCCTGCTGGGAAAACTTCTTTTCGCGGCTGATTGAAGGAACAAACTTGCCTTTGTCACCATCGCGTATCACCCTTCCACTAGTAAGGTGGTGTCTTACCAACCACGCCATCGCGGGTTGTTACAAACAAAGAGTATCATGTTTGCTCGAACCATACTCTCTCGTGTGAAATCGGAAGGGTGTTCTTTCGGCAAGTCCGAGATGTGCTAAGAGCTCGACAATACGATTGGCTTAGGCTATCAATAGTCGTTGGAGGCAGTGCCAGAGAACGGCACAGTGAAATCACCCAGAATAGGTTGGTGTTGCTGCTTTGCGTATAAATACCTCGAGATGATCCAACTCCAGAAGAACTTGTTACTGCTACCATCAGCCAACCGCAAGCTTCACATCGCTCTCATTCAAAGCCATTCACCGTTTTCAAGTCATCACCTGCTTCATAGTAAAGTACCTTCATCTTTTCCATCATGGCCGAAAGAACCTACAAGAACGAGTTCCCTATTGAGGAAATTGACGACAACTCCTGGATGATAGGCCAGGTCCTCATTTCTCGCCATGCTTCTAAGCCTAATGGACCATGCTGGTATGATGGCAAAGACGCCTTCTTTACCATCGCTGAGGTCCCGAACCCAAAGCCCTCGACCCGACCTCTCTCGGAGTCTTGCCCCTTCGTCGAACTGTCCTGTGGACCCATGACTGCAAGGGCAGGCATATTTGAGGTTGGTCATGCCTACTTGACGATTGATCTCAATATCGGAACTCCCGAGCATGTCACTCTGGGAAAGCTCGCCGAAATGGACCTTTCGTTCAAGGTTCCAGAGGTCTACTACCATGGAGTCCACTGCGACAGATATTATCTGGTCTGCAGCTCATTTCCGTCGGGCCGCAACTTGGTGTACGCCTGGACCGAGACTGATGATCATGATACCAGGTCACTTTGGGTGTCGCAAATTGCTGACGCCTGCCTGGAATTATCCAAACTCCGCGGCAGCGCTATCACCGCCATTGACGGCGGCATTCTAAATGACCACTTGTTGCTGAAAGAGGTTGGGTCAGCTGGCGACATCGACTACGAACCCGAAAAGATGCGCGAAAACTGTTTAGAAATCGGTCTCGACTGCTCTGAGCTCACGTTTGCCTTTAACAACATCCAACCAATTGCATTCACGGTCAACAACGACGGTCTGGTAGGTATCAGCTCCTGGCGTCACGCTGGTTTTGTTCCCAAGGACTGGATCGGAACAAAGGTGCGCTCGAATGATCTTATGGAGTCGGCCGATGTGTGTAATAAGCTGTGGACGGAGGAGGATCTGGCTCATTGGTCTTACTACATAGGGGTGGCCATGAAGGAGAACGGCTTCGGGGAGGTCTGGTACGACTTCGCGAAGTGGAATTCCAAGAAGGCCCAGCGACACATGAAAAGGATTGGAAAGGCTTGAGATAACTATATACGAGCTTAACTCGGGGAAATGTCAGTATGATTACAAGTGGGGTTTACCTGGAGGTTTTCCATGTAAATATAATCATTCTGTCAAGGCCAATAATGTGCAGCCAAATGTGTCTGAGAATGAGGGTCAATAAGCGATCCTGGATTGGCTGGGGTGAGATGGTTGAAGTGAGATCAATTTAGATAGATAACGGAAATCAAACTAAGATAAGCATGATCCAATTGATCCGGCTCATAGATTTCCCCATTCATTCCGACACTGTGTACTTATTGGCTCATGAAGCGAAAACGCGACCGTCGTAGATGAACTTGAAATGTTCGATAACTAAAGAGCTTTGTTGATGTATCCCCCCCTTCCCCTCCTGCACCACGTATCTTTCTCTCTGAACCTAGATCATCTTGGTATCATACAAGTCGCCGGTTGCTCAAGTTTGCGTGTTGTCTGTCGCGGGAGCTGCGGTAGGAACATTTGCTGGGGCACCTTGACCTTCGGTGGGGCCATCTGTAGCATCGCTGGTTAGTACAATACTATTCTGCGAATACTGGTGTTGTGACTTGCCGTGTCCGTTTTGTAGTTTTCTGGCCGGCAATTCCCGACCACAAATCTCATCCTTGCCGACAGTGGCTTGGCAGACTTCCACATAGACTATGTTGGAAAATCCACAGGTGCATCTGCCTGGGGTATACATAGCCCGGTCAGGGCGTGCGTAGCGACTAGGGGGTGGACCGGACATTGGACAGGTGTTTCTGTGTTAGAGTTGATTCAAATGTGAAATAATGTAGAAGTTGGTTGGCAGGAGACTTTGCAGACTTTACAAGATTGGGTGAAGGTAAGAGTCTTTTGGTCCTTGTCCACAGGGGGGACAGCAGGTTTTTATATTGAGGACAAGGACAGGCAGAGTGAACAATCATTCCATGCCCTCTCTCGTCATATTCACCATTGCTGCATCTTGTTTTAGTAAACCAACGCCAACAAAGAGCTGCCATGGGTTAAGTTGATAGTATATTCTCCACGACCTCTCAGTGCAGGGTTAATGTAGGCCTGTTCTCTGTTCTAGATCATTAGCGATGATCTTCACCGCAATGTGAAATCGAAATCTTCTTTGTTTGACAGACAGGCGCATGTTTAGTCTGCATTAATGGTCGATGAGACCGCAGGGGTGTTATCAGGGCTGACGGGGGGGAACCTGCTTCTACTCGTCTTCCATGGACATTCTACGCGCATGTCAGTCTTCTCTCGTGTCATGCGGGACGTTAGGGGCGGTGTTGACCAGGGCTCGCAGGCAATAGCTTCTGTCGGGCGTTCATGGGCATTCAACACGCTGTTCATGTTGGGCCTCTAGAGGGGCATGGCGGAAGCCACAGCGTTGGACAATCAGTTGAGCTTAGCAATCAGTAGAAGCTAGAGGCAGAGGTTAATGATATATCACAAAGCAGGCGCCAGACAGACAGACAGGAGAGCATCCCATTCAACGGGCGAAGATAGCAAGCAACAGCAGGAGGGACCCTTACTCCTGGCATTTGACAGCTGGGACTGTTGATCTGATACCGCTCTTGGAGCGATGACAGAAACAAGCTCATCGGCAACATCATCTGGTATGTTGACCAGGCCGCTCGTTGCTCCAACACTTCTGCCGAGAGCGGATGGTCCGTCGCAGATTGCTTATTCCCGCTTTGGCCGCCTTCATGTGTCTCTCCTGGTTATGGTGGGGACGACGGCTTGAGTACAGCCAGCCGCACCCTTTTTTTAGCTGATGCAATACCCTGGTAACTTGCTTAACTTGCTTAACTAGCAAGCCACGTTCACAAAAGCTGCATGTTTGGCCATGAATTTTCGGCCTTCGGACTAAATCATGAGTGACAATCAAGCCATGGCGCTGAAGTGCAGGGATCATAGCTCTAGTTGCAGAGCGATTCTGGCTCAATCTGGAGACCGACCAGCTCGGTTGATGGAGAGAACTTGATGGACAGGCTTGCTCCTCTCATCCATTAGTCAAAAAGGGTCCAAGAGCAATCGGGAGATCCCTTGGTACAGGCGGCTAATGTTGCTTGTAGAGGCTGCTCAGTTGAGCTCCCATAACTCTGGGTTTGAGCGGGAGCCCCATGGCGGGGTTGCGGGGCTGCAGCTCCCCTCCTGATCTGCTCAAACCGCCCACTTAACTAAGGTAAGTACGGACCTCTCTCAAAAGGTTGGGGAGAAACGTGACGTCTATTGACAGGGGTTATTCTGCTCTCCAGCGAAAGGAGCTGGGCATATTTCTGGACCTCAAATGGTCAACAGCAGCAGGCGGAGTCAATTAGTCCATTCATTCATTTAGTCGGCAAATTGAATCAACTTCCCGCAGGAAAGATCCAAGCCACGTCGGCCTTTTCTGGACCGGAAAACTCCGACAGCAACCTCCCAACTGGAAGAGACATGGGGAGGACCCAAAGAAACGGTCCCGTTATGTCCCAGATTTAGCCCTGGCTCTACTGTGAAGAGTTGTGGCACTGCCAGTGCGTCATACATTTGATTGCCGGCATGGGTGGCAGGGGGGGCTTGTTGGGATACAGCTGCAGCACGGCTCACGATCTCAGAGAAAAGGCACGAAGCTAAGCTTGAGCTCTGGTAAGCCACGTTGAGTGAAAACCAGTGTTACGGTGATAAGAAATTGGCGGTGACAGATGTCGGAGTTGCCGGTGCGCCCGATGGGCAGGTGAAGCTTCTTCATTCTTTGATCTGTCATGTACGAAAGAGAAAATGAGCTTGGCTCAAGAAATTCACAGCTTTACGCTAACGCGACAGGGGGGAACGGAAGCTAGGGATTGGTTGCA